ACACACACACACACACACACACACACACACACACACACACACACACATGTTTGTTTTGCTATCTTTGTGGGGCCTTTGCATTGACTTCCATTCATTTTTCATTCATCTCTATAGCCTAACCATGACCTTTATCCATAACCTAACCATTACCAGTACATACCTAACCCTAAACCTAACACATCCTCAATTCACACCTTAGTCCTAAACCTAGCCCCTAACCCACCAACGGGACTTCTTCTTATGGGGCCCGGGCTTTGGGCCCCATAAGGAGCAGTTGGTCCCCACAATGTAGTATAAGTTGGAAAAATGGGCCTCACAAAGTAGCATAAACAAGGACACACACACACACACACACACAAACACAAACATCTTTGCCTTGCTTGCGTTCGCACTGTAACATCTTTACTAAATTGAAGCTGCCCAATGAACCTCTCCTGTTATTATTATTATTATAATTTTAAAACCTATTTTTTTCTGTGATTTAAGCTCGTCTTCAGCTGTTTATGCAGATTTGTTTGTGTCACACAACAAAGTTTAAGTTCAGAGACGTCTCACCTAAAACGCTGCACATTTTAATCTAAAAGATTTCCTCCTTCAGTCCTTAACAAACTCTTATTTTTCCTTTTTTTTAGCTCTTTTTATGTAATTCCAGGATCTTTGTTAGATTCAGGAGCCAACCAACAATCAGCATTGTTGCATAAAGTGATATATTAAAACAGATAAAGTGTAGACTTTTGAATTCCAATGGGCTTTGTTTTAATTTATTTGTTAACTTGTAGAGAAATGATTGATTTAGTCTACAGTTTCTACATTGTTTGTGTTATTACTGCTATTTTATATATATTTTGCATGCTCAAGCTTAGATAATTATTCATTTCAGTAAAGATTTTAAAGATAAAGAAAGAAATAAAGATTTCATTTGTTAAAAACAAAAAATATATATAATTGAAGCTGAGTGATGAAAAGGACTTAAGAGGCAGCGCCAGGTACGTTTGTTCTAAAAAAAAAAAAAAAAGGACTTAAAAATAAATTAACTTTTATGTCCACAGAAAAATAAGTGCATGTATTTTGCATTTCATAACTGATTTTGGTCCAACAATTTGATGACAACAAATTTAACAGCCTATATATATATATATATATATATATATATATATATATATATATAGCATTAAAAGAGATCATTAAAGTTTTCACTTCCTGTTTAACGTCAGTTTTAAAGAAGTAATAAATATAAAACTCTTAAATATGTTATCATAATTTTATAATATGAAGAACTATATAACAAGTATAAATATTTTATGAATTTTATTCTACAGTTTTTAGAGTCAAATTGGTATTTAATTGGTATTTTACAGGCATGAAAGAAAACGCATAATGTCGCCATCTAGTGGTGAATTCAAAAATGTTTTTAATGACTAATATTCTGGATATCCTGATGCATGCTCAATATTGCTATAATATTCAGTTGAAGTCATCCTGATGAACCTTCTCAGTTCAGAACAGAACATGGAGCTCTAAGTTTTGTTTTCCTGTCCTCCGTGCCGTGAAATAAACCAGACAAGCGTTCAGGACCAAGAAGAATTTAATTTAATTAAATTTATTTATATAGCACTAAGTCACAACAGAGGTCACCTCACTGAACAGAAACATAAGTTAACATAAACATTCATAAATAAAAATAATAAGTTAACACTATTTATGTGAGGAGGCTCATTGTGGGACATGAATGGGTCCAGCTGTTTGTCTGTGGTGTCAGCAGTCTCACGATGTGGGAATGTCCTCGTGATGACATTTAGCTGCCTCGTGCCGTCAGGAAGGACAGTGTTCATCCTGAGAGAGCGAGACACGTCCAGGCTGTAGAGACGCACCTGGAGAGACACTCAGCCCAGGTAGGACCTCTGAGGGACAGGTGGATAATCTCACCAGGTGCTTATTCTTGTAGCTATTTGTCAGGCTTACTTTAGACCTTGTTTATTTGTTTATTTACAATAAATGTCAGGAATATAAAGAAAGGAAAAAGTAGTAAAGTTAATAAAAGAAAGTACATTTATTTTTTATTTAATGTCATAACGGAAAAGGTGAAGGAGGAAGTCAAGAAGTACAGCTGGTCCAACTTTCTATTCTGTTCTATAAGTTGTTAAAAAGGACAATATACATTTTATCTCTCTTTATATTTCTGTGTGTGTGTATAGACCTATAACTGTTTCAAAAGAAACAAAATTAGCTGAATTATTCTGGACAATTTAAATGTGTTGTACTTGTCACAGTTTGTTTTAGAAAACTAGTATTATTTATTATAATTATTATAATTTATTATTATTAATATCATCATAAACCGTTATTTAATCAGGCAAATCCCATTGAGATCACAGATCTCTTTTGCTAGGGAGGCCTGAAACCTAACATGCATATTTAGAAAGTGGGAGGAAACCCACACAAACACAAGGAGAACATGCAAACCCCACGTAGAAAGACCCCTGGTCAAACTTGGGGATTGAACCTAGACCTGTCACAATAACAAATTTTAATTTTCTCAGAAATTATTGAAATAAATGATATTATTGTTTGAAATTTGACAATAATTTGTAATTATTGTCAAATGTAAGAAGAAATGTTTAATTTGTTTTGCATGTAGTACCTTTTTTCAACCACTGGATGGCAATATAAGACAGTTTGAACCGATGGATGGATAGTGAGGGAGTGAGAAGCGCGTCTCTTTAGGAAAAATGGGAGGGAGGCCCCTTGTGACATGAGCTGTCTCTCTATGGTTCTCAAAATGGCGGATGCTCGGTGCATTTTGAGCTCTTTAGCATAGCATTTTTCACACAAAAAAACAGTAAACAAGTTATTAGTTGGCAGCACGGTGGCGCAACTGGTAGAGCTGCTGCCTCTCAGCGAGCAGGTCCCTGGTTCAAATCCCAGTCCGGGGGCCTTTCTGGGTGGAGTTTGCATGTTCTCTCCGTGCATGCATGGGTTTTCTCCGGGTACTCCGGTTTCCTCCCACAGACCAAAAACATGCATGTTAGGCTGATTGGTAACTCTAAATTGTCCCTAGGTGTGAGTGAGAGAGTGAATGGTTGTTTGTCTCGTTTGTCTCTATGTGGCCCTGTGATGGACTTGCGACCCGTCCAGGGTGTACCCCGCCCCTCGCACAGTGATTGCTGGACATGGGCACCAGCGACCCCCGTGACCCAAAATGGAATAAACGGGTAAAGAAAATGGATGGATGGAAGTTATTAGTTTCTTTTTGCAGGGAAATACTTTTTACACAAAATCGTGAATTTTTTTTTTCATTTAGCCTTTATTTATCCAGGTTAGTCTCATTGAGCCGCGAGAACTCATTTTCAAGAGAGACCTGTTTAGGGAGCACATGGTGGGGTTAAGGGCCTTGCTCATGGGCCCAGAGTGGGGCGAATGAGGGTGGGGACAAGTGTGGGTGTTTCACCTACCCCACCCACAATTTTGATGTTGTCGGGGCCGGGGCGTGAACCGGCGATCTTCGGATCACAGGCCCACCTCTCTAACCTCTGCGCCACCACACCCCCAAATTTTGGAGCTTTGACAAGATGAAGGTGTTTTACTGAGGTCGGCCTGTTAGCTTAGCTCGTAGCTTAGCTTCTCAGCTTAGCTGCTTTTAATGATCCAAAAACACACTTTGGATGGTTAAAATGGATTTTAAAGAGAAATGGGGGGGGGGGGGGGGGGGGGGGGGTTTAGCGAAGAGCACCAGAGTTGAGTCTTTTGTCATCCAGTGTCTTCAGTAGAAAGAGAGAGACACAAAGAAACGATAACGCTGATAAATGAAAATGAGGTTGATAATTTTCATTTATCATGCAATTAATTGATTAATTGATTTATTGTTTATTGCGACAGGCCTAATCGAACCCAGGACTTTCTCACTGTCAGGCAGCAGTGCTAATTACTAATCTGTCATGCTATTATAAATACAACATATTGTGTTTTTATTTTTATTAAGTTTACTTTAAAATATTAGCATAAAGTGTCTCATATATCAAAATGACTTTATTTTTGTTAATTAGAAAAGAATAGTATGACTATTCCTGTTGTTAAAGTGTGTTATCAGCTGGATCAAACTCTAACCGTCTCATCTCCTGAAGCAAACATGTCTGCCGTCTTCCTCGCCCTGCTGCTCCCTCTGATCTCAGCTCAGACTTTTCACTGGGGCCCCTGTCCAACTCCACAGGTGCAGCCCAACTTCAACATTCACCAGGTAACAAACACAAACATCTGTGCACATGTGGCTCACTGGGACCAACACGTGATGCTTCGTTTCTGCTAACAGTACCTGGGCAGGTGGTACGAGATCCAGAAGCTGCCTGCCTCCTTCCAACGAGGGAAGTGCATTGAAGTAAACTACGCCTTAAGGAGGGATGGAACCGTCCGGGTGCTGTACTCCAGACTCCAGTGAGTACTAATACTCTGATTGACCAGTTTCAGTTGATTCGTGTAACATCTTAAGTTGATCTATAGAAGTCAGGACAGGATGCAGTCTACAGTCCTCTGCATCACAGAACAACAAATGAGCATAAAAAATGTTTTTTTGTGTCATTTTCTTCAGTTGGATTGATTTTAATGTTTACAAGTCTTGTCTGGCATTAATTATTTGCACAACTATGTTGGATGCACATTATATTTACTCTTCAGGTTATAGTGATTTTAAAAATGAAACGTTAAGAGGTGGATTGCTTTCTATTTTTGTTGTTTCAGTAAAGACAAAGTGAGGGTGGCAGAAGGGACCGCTGTGACTCCTGACTCGAGAGAACCGGCCAAACTTGGAGTCAGCTTCTCATATTGTAAGTACCATATTTTTTGCCGTATAAGTTGCACCTTATTGCATAAATATGCAAGTTCTGCGCCTTATATGAAGTGACTAATATACTTTTTTCCCTATATTTATAACGCAATTTTTGACTGACATTTGAAATATTCATTCAAAATGAACCAGCAAACATTACCAGTTGCAGCCACTAGAGGGGCCTCTAGGCTTTTATATGTTGTTCTTCTACCCTGCTTCTCACACACACATACACACATACACAGAGACAACTGAGAAAAACTTAACACAAGTAAAATGCAACCAAACAGAAAGTCATATTTTGCAGATTACAAACTACAGGTAATAAAATATTCAGCCCAAAACGGTAATCGAGCAGCAGAAAGAAAGTTTAAACAGAGGAACATCAGCGCCCAGACGAAATGAAACTGTTTTGATCATTAAAGTTCGTTTATTTGGGAAAATTAGACTGAGACACACCTTTACTACAATTTCCAGCAAACAAATAATTGTTTTTAAGTGTTAATCTTGTTAAATTCTTGTTAAAGTCCTCATGTGCACGCTGTCGCAGCCGCCATTTGGCAGCCAATCGATTTTTGGCACAACACCGGCCCACATTTCCTGGGGGGTCAGCGGTGATGCATAATAGATGCGACTTATACGGCGAAGCGACTTATACAGCGAATCGACTTATACGGCGAAGTGACTTATACGGGGAAGCGACTTATACGGCGAAGCGACGTGTACGGCGAAAAATACGGTATTTGTTGGGGACTGCCTAGTATAAGGCAGCACCTGTTATTATCCACCTAACAAAAGGTTTCTTAACTTTATTTATATCTTACTCTTCTGTCAACTTTAATGCATCCTGAACCTCAATGTATAGCTCCACAAATGTTGTATCAAAATGACCGGCTTGGCACCGTGATGTGTGCTATTACTTGTATTTGTGTTTTTGTTATCATGGCAACGTAATTTGCAAAGGTGCAGTTTTCCCCATACTAAATGCCTCACAGACACTCTTCACACATGTGAAGTCACATGATTAGAGTGCAGAGGTTCCTGAAGAAATCTTAGAACATCATTGATGGGTTTGTTTGAAACTCACAGGAAAAAAAATCATAATGTATGTCTAGAACTGATTATTGTTTGGAGACATTTTGATTCAAGATGGCTGCCAGTTACCTCAGCAAACACAAAATTGACTATAAATCGGTCATTCTTTGACATAATGAGTTGAATTTTAATATGGTTGTAGTTGAGAGCGAGTTGTTTTATATTCCTAATGCGAATCAAGTATCTAAAATGGCCACCTTAGCTAAAAGGGAAAAAATATGCTAACTCTGCCATTTTTAGAGCGATTCAGCTGAAATTAGGTATTTGACTTGACTGTAGTGCACAATCCAAATCAAAAATACAAGATGGTCATCTTAGCTAAATGAAAAATTGACTATAACTCATAGATTTAGTTGCCATATTGAGCTGAAATGTGGTGTAGTAGTAGCTGAGAGCGAACCCAAACACATAGTACTGTCAAATCAAAATTTTATTTGGCAGCAGCGTGGCAGTCCCAGTCAGTTTCTCCAGGAACTTATATATCCTTTTATTTCAGACTCCATTTAATTTGTCAGATGCTGTTTATTTTCATTTAAACATAGAAATTTCATTGTATCAATCATTTATTTATTATCATTATGTAAGCTTAAAAGGTAGTTTCTTATGTTATTTAAGAAATAATAATAGTGGTGTTTCTCTGCTTGTGGGTTCTGCTCCCAGTTACTCCCTACAGCTCATACTGGGTTCTGACCACAGACTACACCAGCCTGGCCGTTGTGTACTCCTGCACAGATATCCTCCACCTGTTTCACGTCGAATACGCCTGGATTCTTTCACGGTCGCGCTTCCTGCCTCCGGATGCGCTTCGTTACGCCCAAGAGCTGCTGGTCAGAGAAGGAATCGACATCTTCAAGATGAAGGCGACTGATCAGAATTGCAAGGATGTCTAATAATAATAATAATAATAATAAAAGACTCATGTTTATCTGTTGAGGGACTTTTCAGTACATCCTTATCACACTAAACTGCCTTTAAAGCATGGTTTGTTAAACTTTAGTCAGAAAAAAAGAAAACGTTATATATTTTGCATTGATAAATTAATTTTAGTATGTATTATTGATATGTGGGGCCAACTGTGATTGTTAATTTTCACATTCACATAAAATATGCAACCTTTACTGGAGAGAGTAAAGTGTTTAATGATAGGTTAAATAGTTTAATTAGCCATCAAATGTTTAGATATGGTTAAAACAATAGAATTGATATTGGACATTGGAAAGAAAACATTTTTAAAAACATGAGTATAAACTGACAGCAGAATGTGAAAGTCCTGCATATTTTACTATCTTTTATCTGAAGTTTATTTCATTAAGTCTGATGGAAAACTGACATAAGGAATAATGTTTGTAAAACCATAAGAAATAAAACTCCAGCATTCATTGAAGGAATGCAAATTTTTGAATCTATATCTGTAAATCTGACTAAAATATACCAAATTATTTTGCTTTTCTTTAGGCCAATTGACTGCGGCGGCCATCTTGAACCTGAATATTGATGCTGTCATCAATTTAAACGTTTCTTCAAGTTGTGAATATTTATGAAGATTTCACTATTGTCATCCATTTTTCCTTCCTTATGTTTTTTTTGGCATTTTTCTTGTTCCAGTTTTTGTGCTATTTCAACAAATATATCAAAACATTCAGCTCTTTCAGGACAATCCTATGACTTTTGGTATTGGTGCAACTTTAGGTTTTTGAAATATTTAGCCTTTTCTTCTCACAGGAAATTGAGCTAATTTTACATCCTTCAAATCTTTAGATCTGTTTACAACCTTCTATGCTCTTTTCACATTTTGTTTTGCTTCAGCTTACAAAATTTAAACTTTTTTCCAGCTACTTTGTGCTTCATTCAGAATCTTTCTTCCAACATTTTTGTGCTTCTTCTAACTTTTCTAATTTCAGCAAGTTTCAGCTTTTTCTCCTATTTAGCGGTTATGCTAATTTTAGCTTTTTCAGCTAATTCCACATTTTTGCACTCATTTCACCTTTTTTAGCCTAATTCAGCAAAAATGTGCTCTCTCCACTTCCTTCTGGTAATTTAAGCTTCTTTCTGCCTTTTTTTAGCTACTATTCAGCCGTTTTTAATAAACATATTTCTGCATTTTTCAGATAATTTATACTTTTTTGTGCTAATTTCTGCCTTTTAACCTAATTGGGCACAATTGTGCTTCCTCCACTTCATTCTGGTAATTTAAGATTCTTTCTGCCTTTTCAGATAATTTGTTTGGCTCATTTCAGCTTTTTTAAACTAATTTACTAATTTTTGTGCTCATTTCTGCTTATTTAAACCAAATTCAGCAAATATGTGTTCTTTCTGCTTTCTTCTGCTAATTTAGGCTTGTTCTTCCATTTCAGCATGTTTTTAGCTAAGTTCAGCTGTTTTTCAACATGTTCTTGTGGAATAAGCATTCACACTGCATTTTCACAGGAAATGCAAATCGTCTGGTTTTAAAATATTTTCATTTTTACAAAATGTTTAATGGTCTTAAAGACAAAAAAGGGGCAGAAAGTAATAAATACACAATGCAATAATCGAATAAAGATGATTTATTTCCAGTGTTTGTTGGGATGGGGCTGGGATTTATCGTCTGCTGTAAACAGGTGAGACTCTTACTCTTCAGTAAAACAAATTTTTTTATCGGTGTCTTTTAGATTCCACCCAGTTTTAAGCACCTTCCTTTATTTTTATTTACTCCGAGAATCTCAGAAGAAATTACTATAGACGATCAGAAACATGAAGTTATGAGTGAGTAAAAGTATGACACGCATCAGGAATGATAGTTTTTAAATAAAAAAACTCTTCTTGACAAATATCTTAAGTTGTTCTTAAAGAAAATAAAAAAGGCACTTCTCAAGATAAAAACAATTCGAACATGTAAAAACGTAGCTTTTGGACAATAACGTGACAAAGCGTGGGAATAAAACCTACTGTACCAGGCATTACATACTATAGCATCAACATTCCATTTTTTTTTATTTGATAAAACTATAATAATCTTCCAGTCCTTCCAGCTAATATCTGGCTGTTGTGAACGTACCGTGAAAAAAAAAAAAAAAACCTTCCCACGGCACCCAGCTCAGAAAACAGCCTTCAGTTTTCCTACGTACTTCAAGTACCAACAGAAAAAAAATCTGATACATGTTTTTAAAAGACCATTTTTCTTTACAAGCATCTCATATTAGTCCAGAGTGATACATTCTTCATCCCACTTTGAATGAGGAAGAACCGTGACTCCTCCTGCTCCTCTTCACACTGAGCCTTTACAACAGTGCTGTAAAACAACCCTTACTAATGTACATCTTATAAATCAGTCCTGCAGGAGAATGTCCAGGTTTGTGTCTGTTCCAGTATGGCAGAAACATCTCGCAGTAACAATCAGAGCAGTTTATACACAGTATGTACAGGAGATCACTAACGTATACTTCATAGAAAAATATTGAGCTAAAGTACACACATTCACTCTGCTTCTGTTCATCCACATGCTGTCATTGTTTCACAGGTACTGGTAGAATCGTGAGCGGACAACGTGTCCCCCGGAGAGTTTGTGAGGGTGAGCGTCCGTCTCGAGGGACGTTCTGTGTTTGTCTTGTGGTCTGCTGCTGCTCACAAGCTCCTCCGACTGAGCAGGACGTGAAGGAGGTGGAGCTTCCTGAGCCTCGGGGCGATCGTCCTCCGGCACGGCTTTAGGCGCGACCTCTGCGTTCGTTGCGGAGCCTTTGCGCCGCTCCTTGGGGATCCAGTCTCGGAGGAAGTCCTGAGAGGAGCAGTTGGGCTTGAGGTGGTCCAGAGGGGACAGGTCGGCTGTCTGGTCCACCCCACCCTGCTCCCTCCAGTCATTAATAACCGCCAGCTCTGCGAAGTCTCTCTGCCCACCCATGGTGTGCCTCCGCCGGATGCTCTTCTTCTTACTGCGAGCGTCAGCAGCTCGGCTCCTCTGGGGCAACATGTCATCAGCAGACGATCGTAGCCGGAACTTCAGCCGCTCGGTGAGCTTCAGGTGCCAGGCCGGTTCACGCTCCGACTCGCTGCGCGAAGATGAGCTGATGCTGCTCGTCGATCGACCTTTCTTCATCACCTCCAGAACTCGAGACAAGCGGCTGGAGGACTCGGCCTTCCCTTCGTTGCGGTCCCCGCTCCCTGCGGCGCCCTCTGCTGATGAGTCACTGTCCGTCTTGTGCTTCAGGGACCACCTTCTGGACAGAGTGTCACACTCGATCATCCTTTGTGTTGGAAAGAGGCGCCGTGCTTCCTGTTTTGTTGTGGTGGGCCCCTTGGCCTCCCCTCTCAAGTCTGGTTTCTCCCGGTTCTGCTCTGGGCAGGGCGTGGACTGGCTGCTGCCTCCTCCTGGAGCGAACACCGGGAATTCGCTTTCGCTGTCGGTCTCCATGTGTCGGCCCTCGCTGACGAGCTCGCTGCGTTCGTCGTCAGCCTCCTCCCCACCCTGCAGCTCAGGGCTCAGCGCACTCGACTCCGCTCCCGTCAGGAACGTGATGGAAGAGGTGGTGGAGTAGTCGGAGGTGATGGAGCTCACCTCGGCTCCGGCGGCTGTCCCTGCGCCTGCTCCTAGTCCGATGCCCACAGGGAGGTCAAGGGGCACTCCTCCAGTCCACTTTTTGGGTCTTGACCGTGAGACGGACGCTCCAGAGCTCATGGTCCCGAGGTCGGAGTTGTTTTCATCTGGCTGGGATGGAGGATCCGACAGGGAACACTTCCCACAGGTGGCCGCTTGGCTGCTGAGCAGGGAACAGATATTTGGGGACAGGGAAGGCAAAGGTGACAGACACTTGGGCGGAGCATTGTCCCTGAGGAGTAAGGAGTTTCTGTGCTCTCGCTTGGCATTAGATGTGAGCTCCACAATCCTTCCGTTCTCCTTCCTCTCCTCTTGCTGCTGAATGTTGGGTTTTACGTTGGCACTGGGACGAGCCTCGTCCGGCTCACCAGTCTGAGACGAGAGGTCGTCCAACTTCAGGCTGGAGACTTCCACTTTGGGGAACACAGCATCGAGATCATCATCTGAGCTGCTGGGCTGGGGCTTCTCCTTTTTCTTTCTTTTGCGGCTGGCTGCAGCAAAGATGGAGGAGACTAGGAGCTCTCTGTCCTTCCCCGAGCCCCAGGAAACCTGTAAGAAAAATATGGTGTGGGGGATATATATATAAATAAACACAGCTGATATGAAGAAAGACTTTAAAAAAGAGGAATAACCCTGGCATTCCTGACTGAAATCTTAAATCTGTACTCCACCTGCTCCTGCGAAGCAACAGACCAGAGACAAAAAAACAAAAAGTTACATTTGCAGCTGTTTAACCGAACTACACCTGAGTTTCCATGCAGCCTTGAAGCAGAAGCAGGAGAAGCAGAAGCTGCAGAGGCTCAAGCACCGCCATGAAGCCGAAAAGGAGCAGCCAGGTAACAAACTGCATTCATTTTTCTGCTCCTAAACTTTGTCCAGGCTTCTCTAAAATAAGTTCAATGACGACTTATAACATGTCGCTTCAGTGCCTACAACAAGCTGCTGCCTGCTTTGATGTGCTCGTCACATGTTGGCACATGGATAAGGACCCAGTGGGGGTTAGAGCAACAAGATGGGCTCCTGAAGCTCCTTCTGTCATATGCCCCTTTTCCACCACTATTACTCAGCCTCAACTCTGCTCAGCTCGCCACGGTAAGATCCCTATTCCACCAGTACTTTTTAGCTGATTCAGGACCTTTGTTTGTCCCTGCTTCTCTGGTATGACCGTTCGAGCTGAGTCGGCACCTAAACGTGACGTCAGAACACTGTCGGTCACTGATTGGTCAGGGGGAGGAGTCACTGGATCTCAGAAACTCTTCACCAATCCGCCATTTGCAATTTCTCAGGTCGCAGCGCAGCGCAGCGGCTGGATCTATTTTTAAGATTTAAAAAACAATAATGACAACGCGAAGTCCAGGAGTTTTTTGTGTTTGGTGACCGACGACAAAATTCGAGCGGAGTCACCGCGGAGGATCATACGAGCTGCTGACCCGTTGAAGGCCGCGAGGCCTAACCCCAAGCTCCAGCCTCATGTGCTCACAAAGGCCGGATTCTGAACCCTGGCAGGCGGGAAGACCAGGAGTCCAGGACGGAGGGTGGAAACTTTTTTTTTTTATGTATAAAAATGTTTTTTTTTAATCAGCAAAGATTAAAAATAAATAAATGGTGCCGGCTTTATCATGAAATCCTGTTTTCACTTTGGCTTTATTAAATAATCTGTTAATTAAAGTTAACTCAGCTGAAAAATCATAAAAAGACGCAAAATTATTGAATCTCTGAGGAATATTTCCCTCAAACATGTTTAAAGAAGAGCTACATCCTTTGGTTCAACTTTATTCTAACCCACAGATGCACAAATCACAAAACAAGAATTAAACTTTAAATCAAAACTAAAATAAAATCTGTATACAAGAAACAAAACCACATATCTAAATTGAACAATAAAAGACACAATGAGTGCAAATAAATCAAACGACGAAGAAAAATATAGAATTTTAAATATAAATGTTTTTGTAGAATCTGGTTCATCAGATTTAATTTAATTCAGTTTATTTATACAGCGCCAAGTCACAACAGAAGTCGTCTCAAGGCACTGAACAGAAATATTCATATTTAAAATAATATTTTAACATTTATCTGAGGAGCAGACTGCTTTGAGTTGTACTCATCACAGAACTCTCACTCTTAATGGTGAAATAAAGTTCATTAAAAGTTCATTAGCAGGATTTTGGATTCTGAACTCATCTAAAGAACTGGTCTTGGAGTGCGGTGGAAATGTGACGTGTAAAGTGCTGATCTGAGCAGGGCTGAGTAGGAGTGGTGGAAAAGGGGCTATACAGACATGGTTTGACTACAAGAAAACAGATATTTAACAAAGTACAATATCATGTAGGAGTGTGCAAAAACTGTTAAAGCTGAAAGTGAATTTAATTTACTGTAAAAACAGACCAAGAAGAAAAAGAATTAGAAGGCACAAGCGTACATGCAGCCGAAAAGTAAGCAACAAATCAATGCACATTGCTGACTGATAGGAAGACTTAGAGGTTCATGACAATTACTGATGACGTTACATAATGTTTAGTTTTTATTTAGCCTGCATGGATTTTAATATTTTTATGGAACATTTTTTTTTAGCGGAGCTCCTGTTATACACAACAAGGCATTTCCATGTAACAACATGACCTAAAACACTTTAATGCTTACATTTGACTTAGCGATGTTACCTGTTGCCGTATAAGGCTGCTGTTGCAGAGCCCTTGTAGCAATAAATTCACAATCATCATGCACAAGTAGCTCGTAGAAAATAAAAGATGGACGAGACTTTTTAATTAATTGCGCTAACAGAGGCCGGCTGCTGCAAGCGGCTATCACAGGTAACGTACATTTTTATTTGTTTAAATGTTACTATAAGCCTGACGAGCCTTTCTTAGTGACAAAAAGCTGTTAAATGAGATATTTGGCGATGGGTCAAAACAGCTTAATTCCATCAAAACAATCACATTTAACTATGCAACTGGTGTTCTTGTCATTTTTCAAGCATTTGAGACATCAAATAATATATTTCTGCTTTAACTTGCTGTTTTTAAGAGTTTAATACCCAGTGGCCTTCAGATTTGTTTGAAGTGTTTGCTGCACAGTAGTTTATCTGTTACAGGGTTCTTCTACTTCCTACTATCTTACACTGTGAGCAGGACACACTCACCTTTGATTTGGCTGAATCACTAGTTTGTGAATCTGTGGAGAAAAAGACAAAGGGGAGTCGCATTAGAATATTATTTCAAACTTAAAACATGAAAGAGGAGGTGCAACATGAGGAAATGGAAAATAAAGCTGTGACAGGATGAGATGTGAGGGTGAGACAACAGGCCATGCTGCACACAAACACAGATGAGCTCCACGCTACACTCAGCTCCACATCTACCTGCTACATGACGTCCTTTCCCCAGCTCTGACACGCCCCTGAACACAATGTCAGCAGTGAACACGTTGGCAGCAGAGCAGCTAATGTGCCGTGCAACAAGGTGACTGAGTTAGTGCTGTTGTTATGATCATATGTGTCCGAGTTTCTCTACTGTAACGATGACCTTACTTTAGAGGTCACATCTTGATGAAAATATTTAAAAAAAACTAATCTAAAACCCAGTTTCCAAAATGTTAGTTTGTTCTGTTAATCTATGAAATTGATAACAATTAATATAAATCCTAGATTTAACCAAGAAATACAAATAAAATGTAGACATTTGTAAATACACTGTCTGGCCAAAAAAACGTTGCTACCTGGATTTAACTAAGCAAATAGGTATGAGCCTCCTATTGGATAATTACTGCATGGATGATCATCTTTCAGCTGGCAACAAGTTATTGAACCCCAACTGGTGCAATGAGTTGCTTCTCATTAAACAACCATGTTGAAAGACACATCGTGTGGTCGTGGAAAAGATGTCAGTCTGTTTGAGAAGGGTTAAATCACTGGCATCAAGCAGAGAAAACATCTAAGGAGATTGGAGAATCTACTAAAATTGAGTTAAGAACTGTCCAATGCATTATTAAAAACTGGAAGTATAGTGGGGACCCATCGTCTGCGAGGAAGAAATGTGGTCGGAAAAAAATCCTAAATGATCGTGATCGGTGATCACTTAAACCTTTGGTGAAATCAAGTAGCACTCAGGTCTATGTCTAATAGTGAAAGTAAGAGCATTTCCACACGCATAATGCAAAGAGAACTCAAGGAATTGGGACTGAACAGCTGTGTAGCCTTAAGAAAACCACTAATCAGTGAGGCTAACTGGGAAAAAAAAGGCTTCAATTTGCTAGGGAGCATAAAGATCGGCCTGTGGAGCAATGGAAGAAGGTCATGTGGTCTGATGAGTCCAGACTGACCCTATTCCAGAGCGATGGATGCATCAGGGTAAGAAGAGAGGCAGGTGAAGTGATGACATCATGCCTAGTGCCTAGTCATCAATGTAAGATCTTGGTGAGAAATTAATGCAACACTGGATGGAAATAGATCTTGTGACGTTGCAGAAGCTTATTGAAACAATGCCACAGTGAATGCTGCTGTAATCAAAGCTAAAGGCGGTCCAACAAAATATTAGTGTGACCTTTTTTTTTTTTTGCCAGGCAGTGTATATAAAGCTTTGAAAAAACATGTTACAATTAAAAGTGAGGCCAGCAACATATTTCCTAAGAGTTTGAACAGAAATATGTTGCATACCTTAACAGGAACTCGTAAGTTTGATCATATTTCACCAGTTTTGTCCTCCCTTCACTGGCTCCCTGTGAAGGGCCACTTCACTTCCTGTTTTTAAATTTATTTTAAAAACATCTGTTTTCACAGCGTGATTTAATTGAATATTTTAATGATTTGCATTTTTATGTTTTTCTTTTTATGCTTTTAATATTTTTTGTTATTTTTCTTTTAAATTACTGCCATTGGTTTTTATTGTTAAATACTTTGGGAACAGCTGCTGTTTTTAATTGTGCTTTATAAATAAATTTGACTAGACTTCACATGGGAACAACTCGCTGTGGTTTTGTCGGGAGAATTTTAGGAGTATCTGAAAAGTTTTGTCATTTTTAGTTCATCTAAGACTTTAGCTGCTTAAGTTTTCAGACCCTACTTGATTGTATTTCCATTTAGCACTGTGATGCTTTCCTAAATAAAAGTTTAATGTATATGGAGAACGTGGTGAATCGAGGAAAAACTTCACTGAACATGCGTCTTCTGGGTGGCTGCGTGTTGAAAACATGCACAGCTTTTAGCTTTCAAGCTGTGTGCTAAAAATCAGACAGCCCTTCCACTATTTAACTTTAAATGTATTTTGTTTCAGTTTGGAATAAACTGCAACTAAGCAAAATATAAAGTAGAAAACAATTTCTTGTTTGTTTTATTTGCATTTTGGATGCAGAAATGTGCTACAGAATCACGACTGATTAAATTCAATAACTCAGCATTTTAAGGACGCTTTTCATCCTGAAATACCAAATGACTTAAATAATTACATGTTTCTAGTATTGAATTGCCACTACCTCACAATCTAGGTATAATGATGTTTAAATTGATCACGTAAAAAAAAAAACCCCACCAAAAACATGTATGATGTCGTTTGTATTCAACAGGATTTGAGGAATAAAACTGTGAAAATCACTGAATTGTGCTTATTTTTACATTTCCACAAAGCACAAGCTCATTTTTTTAAAGTTGTACAACTTGTCAGTAGGATACGATACAATATCACACTATGCAATATATAATTATGAAAATATATTGAGATATAATACAATAAGTTAGGATATGAAAATATAAAATATGGAAATATACACTATGACAAGAAACAATATTATAATACAATAATATAGGGCGCAACAAGATACAATATGATGTAAGACATTCGATCATGTTGATGTGGTTGTGAGACACTTTTTAATATTAGACACATTTACTCAAAGAGAAATTGTGGAGAAGTCTTGGCAAGCCCTCCCACTGCAGTGCACGCAGTGATTATTTTTAGTCGATCATAAAAGAGTTGGAGGAAATAAAAGAGGAAAGTGCTATTTTGCAAATCTGTTACAAAGAGACCACAGCTGATGTGGGAACATGTCCCTACGCTGTCCGTCCGAGGCACACTCCCTCGTGGACAGTGCACTCTTGGGAGAGTGGCCTGTGTCTTCATGCTGTCTCCTTCCACAAGTTCTTTGACTTTCTCCATTAGTTTTACTGGAACAGTTGTAAAGATGGTTGGCCAGCAGAGCAGCGGTGTCCTGCAGCCACTTTTCCTCATAAACATACACTAAGTTCTGACCATCCTTGGTGAGAATCCCTGCCAGACAATACTTGACGGTTCTTGGAGGTGGTCCAAGAACAAAATATAATTTTTTTGTCATGCAGCCACGTCGGCGAGAAAGTACTTCGGCACTTCAGATGAATTACATGAATTATAAATCAGCCTTAAGTGAAGATATGAGAAGATAAGATGCGATAAAGATACAACAGAATTCAATAAGGTCACAAATAAGGCAACGTACAAACTAGTAAGACATGAAACTTTAAAAGTACAACGTACTTTTTACAACGTACAAAGTATTCTAATGTACAACATGAAGCATTAAGATAAGCTTTGATTAGATAATAATAAGTGAATTATTTGATCCCCATATGATAAACTGACTACAGTGATATAATTATCTCTAAACTTTCAACTTCTCAACAGGCGTTTTCCACCCTTTCTTCAAATAATTAATCAGCTTTTTAAAGAACTAAAAACATTTTCTCAACCTGCATAAAAACTTTTGAATCATTCAAATAATAATTTGAACTGAGTGGTAATTTATTCCCTGACAAGCAATTGCTTTTTTTAACCCATAAAGATGTAAAAATACCTAAAAAAAGGTACCACTTTACAATAAGGCTCCCCTTATAGATGGCTAATAAATAGTTTATAGATATGTTATTAATTCCTCTACACTTTATAAATCATTAATAATTGTTTATTATGCATTAATTAAGGGTGACAGAGACAAAACTGACCAGTTTCTTGTCAAATCTGTTCACTTAAATATTTAATCTATTAAACATTTCAGACTAAATCACTACCTTGTAAGCAGAATATTGTAAACCTAATTTTTTAGGATATAATATTAGTTGTAAATACTTATAATGCAGTGACAAAGTACAATATTATATGTTAAAGAAATAGGTTTATAAATGCTTATTGTGCTAAAAAGGTAACTTAGTGTGAAATGTTTAATATAACTCTAGATGAAATATATAGGTGAACAGATTTGGATCACTATTTGTCAACAAACTGGTCAGTTTTGTCTCTCTCTCTGTCACTCTTAATTAATGCATAATAAGCAGTTATTAATGATTAATAAAGTGTTTATAGAGGAATAAACTATTTATAGTCTTCTATAAGGGGATCCTTATTGTAAAGTGGTACTCTAAGAAAACAAATCTAAAAACAAGCTTTGTGTAGTTAAATAAGGTTTAATATGTGTTAGCTTGCCCAGTGACAACAGCTTTAAAAAAACAAATGAATCAGCATCTGGTTCAAGACTGAAGGTTAATTTGTGATTTTACTGACGCACAGCATGAGGTGACATGAGCTGTCATGACAACAGAACGTGATGACGACAAAAACACGAACCCAAAAAAAAAAAAAAAAAATAGACAGGAAAGTGACAGGGGGTCACAGAGGGGCTAGCTGTGTGGCGAGAGAAGGCTACATGAGAAAGATGAGTGTCAGCAAGGAAACCTATAATCAGTCCTCACCTGCTCAGTTATTTCAGATTTAATCTCCAGCTAAATTTAGTGTGGCAGCCGAGCCCCCCTACACACCCCATTACAGTACAGATGATGGCACAATATGCAGGAGCACACTGACTGGTGATGTAAGAACCATACCATGCCATCTCTCCTGTTGGCGAGCTTGTAAAGACAGTGAGGAGAGACAGCGGAGAGCCTTTCAGACAGTAGCACCGGCCTTCGTTAGGTAAACTCTGACAGAAAACCCACAACATGGGACTGTACCGTGTTGCCGCTTCGCTTTTCTTTTCTTTTTCCCACCATCGTCACAAAACCAAACTGTTTTTCCCTTTGGCTTTAAAACACCTGCGGGTTCCTGCAGACTAGGCAGCTACACTGTGGGCAACAATCCTCCTTCTTCCTACAGTTCCAGCTGTCCATCACAGACATTATAGAGTCCATCAGTGACATCATGGCGTGACAGACTCCTCCCACTTGGCCTGTGTCAAGATCAGTATGTGTGAATGCTGGGAAAGCCGTTAGGACACCCGACAGAGCCTCACTAGAGACAGAGGAATCAGAAGTTCGCCTTTTACTGTAAAAACATCTAAATCTGACGTAGGAAAGAACATGCCGTGTTAGTGCAACATTAGGCAGGATAAAGAGGGGAGGGGCACAGCCTAGAGGGGGCGGGGTTAAATAACACAAAACAAAAGGTTAAGAGGATTCGGTTTAATTTACCAACAAATATCACTAAAGGTCTTTTAAGGCAAATAAAGAAACGACAATTTGTTGCATCTTTTTTAAGGATGCAGAGAAATTGTCTGCTCAAAGCCACACAAGCGTAGGAGGTTTTATTTATTTATTCATGTATTTATTGAGCTAAAGAAGGAGGAGGGGAAGCTTGGGGGAAGAAGCTGCGTTATCATCAAGGCTTGGGTTAACGATCCACCTCTGAGCGCAGCACTGAAAGGACAGGAGAAGGTGCAGCCACCACAGGGCCGGCCCGTTACCTGAGACGTCACCCTGAGACGTGCAAGTCCGCCCGATGTTGGTGAGCAGGTGGTCGATGTTCGGGATGGGCTGAGACTCGATGGCGCTCTCCTTCCGAGACACAGTCTGAAGGAGGTGGGAGAAAACTAAATAAGGTTTAAAATAGTAACAAGAGCTTTGAGGACATCGCAGTGATTCACTAAAATGATATGTGGACAGCCCAGAAAGTTTTAGTTGATGCTTCTGTTGAAGTAGCTGCGTTTTAAAACACTTAGTTTGAAAGTATCAGGAAATAAACCAACAAAACACATTTTCTAAATTAAATAATTGAGTTTCTTTTATTAAGTTATAACTTGACTTATGCTCTGAGTATAATAAGAAAAATCACAGACTGAAGACACGTTTACTATTTGAGAGAAAATTCCTGTTTGGATCAAAGCACTTCTATTGCCGAGTTTTATTTATTCATTTTATTTTTTACTGTTTTCATCACTGAAGCACTGACTTGGGGCAAAACATAAATTGAGATGATCAAAAACTTTGTAAACTTAAAAAAAAAAAAGATATATATATATATATAAAAATAAAAATCAGAGCTAATGTAGCATTTAGTTGTCCTACAAGCAAACTGAAACAAACCAAAAGTAAAAGTATACAGCCAAAGCAGATTGTGGTTACCATGTTTTTCTAAAGTCTGTTAGTTTAAAACTGAAAGTCAAACAATCCTGTGTGCTGAAAAGCTGCATTCCAAAACAACATTTAAATTGATAGCTTTCAGAACAACACTTATAAATCCATCCATCCATTATCTTTACCCGCTTATTCCATTTTGGGTCACGGGGGTCGCTGGTGCCCATGTCCAACACTTATAAATGTTGAACAGAATATGAATAGGCCTGTCACGATAAATTTTGCTGGGAAATTAATTGTCTCAGAAATTATTGCGATAAACGATAATATTGTTTGAAATTTGACAATAATTAGTAATTATTGTCAAATTAAAGAAGACATGTTGGTTAAATTGTTTTGTGTGCAGTACCTTTTTCTGACCACTGGATGGCAGTATAAGACTGTTTGAAACGAAGAATGGATAGTGAGGGAGAGCAGTGTGTCTCTTTAAGAAAAATGAGAGGGAGGCCCCTTGACGTGACATGGGCTGTCTCTCTCCTTTTTTCGGTTCACAAAATCGCAGACGTCTGTTGTGGTTTGAGCTCTTTAGCATAGCATTTTTCACACAAAGCTTTTAATAAAAATTCAGTAAACAAGTTCTCAGCTTCTTTTTGCAGAGAAAAACAACTTTTTACATGAAGGCATGGGTTTCAACTGTGAATTCTGGAGTGAAGAGCACCGGAGTTGAGCTTTTTGTCATCCAGTGTCCAGTAGAAAGAGAGAGAGATGAAGAAACAATGAAGCCGATAGATGAAAATGAGGTCGATAATTTTATCATGCGATTAATTGATTTATTGTTTATCCTGCCAGGCCTATATATGAACAATCATTTTTACTGATCTGATCAAATCCAGTAATATAATCCAGTCTGTTTACTGTAATCAACACACAGCAGGCTTTAATGGTAGAATTAGACAAATACTTAAAGAACGATACAAAAAACAGTAAAAATGCAATTCAACTTGTACTTAAGAACTGTATTTGTAATAAAAAATATGTTTTAAAGTGCTGTGTAAATTTGGTTTAAAAGAAGCTGCTTCCTATCAATTTCCTGGTAACAACTAATATTACTTTGGGTAACAAATAAAAATACCGTATTTTTTGGACTATAAGGCACACTTAAAATACTTTAATTTTCTCAAAAATCAACAGTGAGCTTTATAATCCAATGTGCCTTATGTATTAATTTTGGCTGTGCTTACTGACCTCGAACCAATTTTATGTGGTACACGGAGCTCAAAAATCTGTCAAAATGTTTTAGTTTCGCTTAATGCGCTTTATAATCCGATATGCCTTATATAGGCCTGTCACGATAAACAATAAATAAATCGCATGATGAATGAAAATCATCAACCTCATTTTCATTTATCGGCTTTATCGTTTCTTCGTGTCTCTCTCTTTCTACTGAAGACACTGGATGACGAAAGACTCAGCTCTGGTACTCTTCACTGACCCCTCCCTTTCTCTTTAAAATCTGTTTTAACCATCCAAAATCGCGTTTTTGGATCGTTAAAAGAAACTAAGCTGAGAAGCTAACCTACAAGCTAAGCTAACAGGCCGACCTTGGGAAATAAAAGCTCCGTCTTGTCAAAGCTCCAAAGCGCCTCCCTCCCGTTTTTCTTAAAGAAACACGCTGCTTGCTCCCACAGTATCCATCCTTTGGTTCAAACAGTGTTATACTGCCATCTGGTGGTCGACAAAAGGTAATACATGCAAAACAAATTAAGATAGAAAACGTCTGTCCAGCCATTATCTTTTACCCGCTTCTTTCTTTTTGGGTCACAGGAGTCGCTGGTGCCCATATCCAGCAATCACTGTGCGAGAGGCAGAGTACACCCTGGACAGGTCACAAGTTAGATAGAAAACATTTCTTCTTATATTTGACAATAATTACCAATTATTGCAAAATTCCAAACAATATTATCATTTATCGCAATAATTTCTGAGACAATTAATCGCCCAGCAAAATTTGTTATTGTGACAGGCCTAGCCTTTTAGTCCGAAAAATGTAGTAAAGAGTATCTAGTGAACTGTGCACACGCTGACCACACAAGACATGGCTGCTTAACTTACTGGCCCCAAACATTCAAAATTCACTGAGACTACAACTGAACTCATCACGTATTTTCTCATAAATAGTCTCCAACGAGCCTCCACCAGGGCAGCATGGTGGCGCAACTGGTAGAGCTGCTGCCTCTCAGCGAACAGGTCCCTGGTTCAAACCCCGGTCCAGGGGCCTTTCTGGGTGGAGTTTGCATGTTCTCTCCGTGCATGCGTGGGTTTTCTCCGGGTACTCCGGTTTCCTCCCACAGTCCAAAAACATGCATGTTACGCTGATTGGTAACTCTAAATTGTCCCTAGGTGTGAGTGAGAGAGTGAATGGTTGTTTGTCTCGTTTGTCTCTATGTGGCCCTGTGATGGACTTGCGACCCGTCCAGGGTGTACCCCGCCCCTCGCACAGTGATTGCTGGACATGGACACCAGCGACCCCCGTGACCCAAAATGGAATAAACGGGTAAAGATAATGGATGGATGGATGGATGGAGCCTCCACCAGTCACAGCCTGGTGAGACACAAACTTTAGATAAGCAGCCTTAAACTCATTGTTTTTACTGATATGTTTTGTTGAACTTAATGAAACTGGAGGTACAACGGAGACAGGACTCACCACCGGGTCTCCATTTCCATCGTCGGTGAAAAACCAGTCGTACTAGAATAGAACAAGAGTGCAACAAATCAGTTGTATGTAAATCTGTGTGAAAGGATGATCAGCAGAAGATCAGATGCTCACATTCTGAATGAGCGTCTCCACTATCTTGTACTGGTCCGGCATGTGGGTCACCATATGTGTCATGTTGTCATCGGTGGTGCGCACCAGAGTGGGTCCAAAGACGATGGCCAGGTTCCTCGGTTCCATCTGATCAAAAATAAATAGTGTTTATTGCATGCGTTCAACTGGCCTTAAAACTAATCTAAAACTTTAACGGTACCTTATTTTTCTCTGAGTTTTCAGCCACAGTTTTCAGATGAGCTGAGAGGAACTTCAGCGTCTCATAGTGATGATCTGGTAACTCATGAAGCTGCAAAAAACACATTGAAGTATTTCTGGATATGTACTGTCTGTTGGTTTTGTTCCATTTATAAATGACTAATACATGATACTAACAAAGAAGAAAACTAAAAGCTGATGAATACAGTAGTCCCTCGATACTTCGCGGTACGACTTTTGCGGACTTGCTCTATCGCGGTTTTTCAAAGTAAGACTGAACACGAGAAAAAAAATATTGTACACGACACATGATTGTCAACTTTAATATTACTCACGTGATTGGGATAGTACTGGATAATGTACAGTAAAAAGTTCATGAAAAAATATTTCAGACAGGTACCGCCATTTTGTGGTTTTCTCTCAGTAAGCCTATACTGTATCCCCACTCATAACCATCAACCTGTTTTGTATTTGTAATTATTTTTTCTATCCTTAACATGTGTTTTTTTGTCTTTCAGATACACCTGGACCTGTACCCAGACCTAACATTCTGTGTTCGTCTGTCTCTCCTTCCTGTCCTCTCAACCAGCCGGTCAAAGCAGATGGCCGCTTGTCCTGAGCCTGGTTCTGCTGGAGGTTTCTTCCTTTTAAAAGGGAGTTTTTCCTTTCCACTGTTGCCACTGTGCTTGCTCAGGATGGGAGACTGCAATGAAGCCAAGATTCAACTTGTCTGCTGGATTCCTTAGATAGAGAACTTTACTAATTGGCTTTTATGTATGTGAATGTTTCTGTAAAGTGCCCTGAGACAACTTTGTTGTGATTTGGCACTATATAAATAAACTGAATTGAATTGAATTAAATAACGACTACATTTCCCAGAAGCCAACAAGGTCCCGCCCAGAAGCCCTGTTTCATTCTGCTGAAATACTAGAGGGAAAGTTTTGATCTGATCGGAAAAAGTTTGGAGTTTATTACAGTGACTTCGGCACCCAGAGGGTGTAGAGAGCCACACATAAACCCACTGGGAACTGGACCTCCAGACCCATTGGTGAATCTTGAGTGCTGGTAGCCGGCCCACGAGGACTTCTGAGTGGGACGCTCCATGCGGAGCCCAATGCCACTACCCTGAGCCAGAGTTAACAAGAACTGGCAGAATAAGCCTGCAGAAACTGAACCAAGTCGGAGCAGAACCGAGCCGCAGCTGTTCATCTTTTTTTTTTTAATTCAACCTTTATTTATACAGGTTAAATCCCATTGAGCCTTGGGGACTCATTTACAAGAGAGACCTGATAACTCACTAGCTCTGCCAAGCTAGTGAGTAACATTCAGTAGCTAGATATCCAGTACTGTACGTATGTTGTTAAAATGATGTAGGTTTAAGAATTGCAAGTGTAGGAAGGGTTTCTAAAGCCCTAAAATATATAAATATTAAAATAAATACAATGTTGCTACTTTGTGGATTTTCACTTATTGCGAGGGGTGGGGTGGGGGGTCTGGAACGGAACCCCTGCAGTAAACAAGGGACTACTGTAGAGTGCTTTAGGAAGAAGAAGAACTTGTCCTCACCAGCCTCTTGAGAACTTTGAGCCTCTCCACTGGGTCCTCTATTCTGTTGGCGTCTATAAAATCTGTGTACCTATCTGCAGGGAGACATGACAGTTACACAGCTGCTCCCTTCAGGGGTCACCACAGAGAGTCATCTGCCTCCACCTCTAACCCTAGCATCCTCCTCTGTCACACCGACCCACTGTGCGTCCTTCACAATCGTGACTGCACATATTGGACAATTTTAAGAGCAGGGTCAACTTACCATTAGTGAACAAAGGCTCGGGAAGTTTACGAAAGAAAGACTTCAGTAAACTGCTGATCACGTTGAGGTCTCTCCATTTCTATAACAGAAGGTTAGATGTTTTAAAAAACACGTTTTGTGTCACTTCTGCATTCCTGCTAGCTGCTGGAAGTTCAACAAGGGACACGATCCTGCCCTTCTTTATTTTAAAGCTGGTTAAACAGGATGAGTTACTGGCAGATTTACAGCAGGAAAACATTTGCATCTCTGAATGTCCGTATCTTTAGACTTCAAGGAGAGTTTAATTAAAGCAACACGGCCACTCACGTCATCCTGGATATCGATGTCACTCATGCCCTTGTTATTGAGCTCCTCCTGCATGTTGGAGATGGCAGCGTTGTTTCCGGGGACTCTGTAGATGCCCGTGTACTCCAACCCCCTCTCCTCCACCAGCTTACAGCAAACATCCACAATGAGAGGCACAAACTGGAGGATGGAGAGGAAAACGTTTGAAAGCGTATCAAAGAGCAAACCTCAGGTACAAATATAGAGATCAACAGCTCGTTGTTTGGGTGTGGGTTGATTTGTGGGGTAAATGAGGACAAAGCTGCAACGATGAAGACGAGAATAGAAAACGACCAGAACCTTGTTGTTGTGTGCAGGAGGACAGTCGTCCAGTCTCACTCCAAATGTCACCCCAGGAGACGGCTTTTTCTCAAAAGGTTTCCTCATCAGCCCTGGGATGCTTTTCCTCCACGTCCCTTTATCCTTTGGGGGGCTGGTGTCATCTGCACACAACGTGCTGCGATAATCAGGGCTTTGATTTGGTTTGTAGGAGACACGGCAAAATCTTTATTACAGTATCATTAAACACAAATTAATTTAAACTCCTACCTTTGTGCACGTTCTTCTTCTCCTGCTCAGGTTTGGGTGAGTGTGGACTCGTAGCTTTGGTCTCTCCTTTACCCCCCAGCAGCGTCTGTCTGATGCTCAGCGACTGGCGTGAAGCTCTGGGTGATGGCTCTGCTTTGCTTCCAGTGGGGCTAAACAAAAAGACAACAATTGAAAACATCAAACTAAAACAATACTATGTAAATAACAATTATTAAAAGTTAATAATGAATTTGTTATTGAGTAACAGTTTTTATCAGTACGTCAAATAGCCAAAGTAAAATCTTATACAGTAGTCCCTCATTTATTGCGGAAGATCCGTACCTTGAAGCCCCACGATAAGTGAAAAGCCGCACTGTAGGAATAGTAGTACAAGTAGTTATTTATTTTAGTATTTATATATATAAATTTTAAGGTGTTTTAAACCCTTCCCACACTCTTGCAATTTTCTAAACAATGTTTCTAAACTCTAAACGCTCTAAAAGAGCACAGAATGTTATGATTTCCCTCTCTCTGCCTCTTCTGCTCTCAGCCACCTGCAATCACTCTTGGCCACGCCCACTTCTCCGCTCTGCACGAACAGCTGATCAGCTGCAGCAGGAAGTTTATCCTGCAGTACAGGCTGCACAGAGGTGCAGCAGTTGCTAAATAATTTAAAATAATTTATTTTAAATAAAATTCTATGCAGAGCGTGTGTGGCTCATCCATCAATCAGCCAATTGTGTGCCATGTCCAATCTTATTTTGAAAAACCACGATAGAGCGAATCTGTGATAAACGAACCGCTAAGTAGTGAGGGACAACTGTATTCATATTAAAGAACCCAAAACTCATGCCTTCATCACCACCAAACTGGACTACTGCAACTCTTTATATGTTGGTTTGGAACAATCGTCCATCGCCTGCAGTTAGTCCAGAACTCTGCTGCTCGTCTTTAAACAGGAAACAGAATGCAGGACCACATCACTCCTGTTTTAGATGATTTACACTGGCTACCTGTTACTTTTCATATTAATTTGACTATTTTACTCATTCTGAAAGCTTTAAATGACTTGACACCCAGTTGTTTAATGTATCTTTTGCACTTTTACATCCTAAACAGAGCACTGAGCTCCTCCAGTCGGATGCTTTTAGTGCAACCGAAGGCTAAATTAAAGCATAGAGGGGATCAGGCTTTTGCAGTGGCAGCCCCCAGACTGTGGAACTCCCTGCTCATTGATATGTGCTCTCCAGAGTCCATACAGTCCTTTAAACTCGTTTTTTTTTTTTTTTTTGCTCTGGCTTTTAATTCAAGTTTGGTTGAGTTCCATCAGGACATCTTAGATGTGCTATTTTCTTGTTTTAGTGTGTTCATGGTCTTTTTTTTATTTATTATACTTGTGTTTTTAATGTTTGAACTTTCATTTCTTTTATTGCTAATTTCCTGTTTGTGAAGCACTTTGGTCAACACTGTTGTTTTTAAATGTGCTATATCAATAAAATTGACATCGATCAAACGTCCAACAGCTGCTGGACAGGACAAGGCCAGACCTCCCCTTCTTGACTTACCTCATCAAGGTGTTGTACTCCTTGATCCTCCTGCTGATGAGGTCATGACTGGTGAAAGCAGCGTTCTAAAAAAAAATAAAAATAAGCAGGATGGAGTGAATGTCAGACACATCTGATGATGTTCAACACATCAGACAGAGGTGTGGGCCACATCGTCATACACTCAGGTGCTGTCACAGGTAAAATCCCTGGAATGCTACAGTTTGAACTGTATGGTCCTGCTTTATTAACTTACAAATGACGGCTGGGGCTTTTTTATAGTGGTAAATACAGTAAGAACATATGCAATATATTTAGGCTTTATCATCCATCTATGCATCATCTTGGTTTAATTAATATAATTCACTATATTTATACTAATACTTGACCTTTTATCTTATTTTATTAAAAATTGTATTCATGTGGTTGTACAAATAAACATTCTAAAGTTTGTTTTACAAATGTTAATGTGTCTACATAATCAAAATTTTAAATAATGTGTCCAAAAATGAGTGTTGTAAAATGTTTTCTGGTACTATAAAAGGAGTTGTACTTTGATATAACATATCCAAGTGGTGGAACATGTTTGTATGGTTAAAGATGGCTTTTACTTTATATTTTATTGTTTTTATTTTAGGAGGGTGAAGGCAGATTTTGGAACACCACAGAGTCGAAAAACGATTTCCTCAAGGACACAACGAAGTATTGAAATGTTTTGGTAGTTTGACATTTAGGATAACAATGCAAAGCCAGCCAGTGTAAAACCAACCTTCAGATTTCATTTAATCCTAAATCAATCATTTCATCCTCAAATGGTCTGCAAATGTATTTGCAAAAATTAACTCATTACTCCTTTACTTTAATTATTAAATTATGTTCAGTTATCCTGCAGTACTGTAGCAATGAAGTATACTGGATTTGATTGATTAAGTAATTATCTGACTACAACCATGAGCTCGACGGTACTCAGCTGTTTTTAAGAAGTATCTTGGTTTATGTTTCATGATAAAAACTGATTTGAAACTTTAAAGCTGAAGACTAATTCACATAAAAAAAATCAAGTATAATTCAACAAATTGATATATATATATATATATATATATATATATATATATATATATATATATATGTATGTATGTATATATGTATATATGCTAATTACTTAAATCTGTATCTCTTGAATTGTTTAAAACCAAGTATTGCTACATCTCTAAGTGGTTTGGGCTTGTTTTGTACCTCCTCATCCAGGTTGCTGCTCTCTTGAATAACTCTGATCCAGGCCAGCATGTCCTCTCGGTCCTCAGCCTGGAACAGGTACTCGCAGTCCGACGTCATCAGCCTCAGCACGTTCTTGCGCTTCGTGTCGCTGTAGGAGATGTCGATCAGACAGGCCTTGATACTGATGAGCAGCGGCTCCTCTGCTGTCTGACAGCTGGCGTGAGCTTGGCCCTCCTTCTTGTCTTTGTACAGGCAGAGGTAGTGGCCTCTCAACACGGCGTACATCTGCTTCCACTGTCGCATGCCTCCTCCCACACGCTGCACGAATGGCCACAAAGAGGAGGCGGTTTAACAAAACAATGTTTGAATCAGACTCATTCAACAAAACCTTTAAATGATTAAACCTAACTGCAGCAAAATAAGAAAGTATATTAAATAACACTAGAAAGTTCCTGGAGAAACTTTGATGGGGACTGCCACATGGCAGCCATTTAATTTTTTTGATTTAACTACTATATGTTGGGGTTCACTCTCAGCTACGATCATACCAAACTTCAGCTTAATATGGCAAAAAAAAAAAAATCAACGAATTATAATAGTCATTTGTTTCTTTTAAACTATGGTGGCCATCTTGGATTTTTTTATTTGGATTCAGTATGTGATGGGAAATGTTCTCAGCTATAATCTCACCAAATTTCAGCTGTGTGTGTAAAAATGGCTGAGTTAAAGCCATTCAAATTTTGCTTTGGTGGCCATTTTGGATTTTTATTACAATTCAGTATTTATTGGGCATTGCTCTCAGCTATCATCACACCAAATTTCAGCTTAATAGCTTTAAAAATGTCTGATTTAACAAGAACTCCTACAGCCACACTAGAAATAATAGTGAAAAGATTACAAAAATGCCTACAGTTTGATTAGGGATACACGATATTATCAATAAAGTTAAATATCGGACATCGGCCATTCCATCAAAATAACTAATAATAAATGTTTTTTAATGGAAAAAAATGGCGTCTTTGTTTGCAAAATACGTCGCCACGGTAACTCAAAACGCCAATAAAAGTCATAGCACACATCACAGTGCTAAGCTGGTCATTTTGATATAAAATTTGTCAGGGTACACATCACAGTTTGGGCCACATTGAAGTTGATAGAAGAGCAAGACCCTTTTCAGGTGGATAACAACAGGTGGCTGCCTCCCTGCTTGTTCAGCTTAAGCAGGTTGGGTTTAAGTAGAGACTGTGCCCACCTTGCCCTTATCTGTATGAAGCTGCTTGAAATGCAAGAATCCCTCCTTGATGGCGTCGCAGAAGACGTCTGATGAGGAATCTCTCCTGGACTCAGAATCATCTGATGACCGGTCCACAGCCTGAAACACAACACAGTTTAAAGGAACATAAAGACAAACATTGTGAAACAAAGAAATTACATGAATTTAAAATAAATATAAACTCTGATGGAATAAACTATTTCCCAGTAAAGCGGTTAGTTACACAGCTGTCCCTGTTTGCCATAACACATTCAAATTTCATGCAGTCTTTATCTTCCAGGTGAGCGCTCAAAAGGCTGATAAACTTCAAAAGCAGGAGATGCTGATAAACCAGCTGAGCTCATGGTGGACAACTTACCTTCCTCAAACCTTTCAGGCCAGGTAACAAGGACCTTCTAAAGAAAAGAAAAGTAATACTGAGAGATGACAGAACCATAAGAAGCATTACTTTAAAATTTATTTTTTACTTTTTTTTTTTTTCCGTAAACACAGCTTCCAATAAACTTCTTTTTCAGCTACTGGTACTGTTTATCGTACAACCTACCCTCTGCCTTCCTCCTGGTAGTTATCGATGCCTTCATCGTACGACTTGGACTGCTCGGTTTTGGTACCAGATTCTGATTCAAAAATGTTGAAAAAGACTTTTTTTAAACAGTCACACAACTCCATAAAACTGTTTATGAACTACTGCATAAAGAAATCCTACCTTGGTCATAGGACAGCTGGCGTATAATGTGATGGGATGAAGATGTTGGGCTGGGTGGGACGGTGGTGATGAGGGGCGCTGCAGATATAACAGAGGCAGGGATGTGTGCGCTGTCCTGGTCAATACTGGGACTGGATGGCTCATCTAAGGGCACAAATGTGGAACAGTAGTTAATAAAATAACATAACTTGAGTTTATTCCCAGGCAGCACGGTGGCGCAACTGGTAGAGCTGCTGCCTCTCAGCGAGCAGGTCCTTGGTTCAAACCCCGGTCCAGGGGCCTTTCTGGGTGGAGTTTGCATGTTCTCTCTGTGCATGTGTGGGTTTTCTCTGGGTACTCCGGTTTCCTCCCACTGTCCAAAAACATGCATGTTAGGCTGATTGGTAACTCTAAATTGTCCCTAGGTGTGAGTGAGAGAGTGAATGGTTGTTTGTCTCTATGTGGCCCTGTGATGGACTTGCGACCCGTCCAGGGTGTACCCCGCCCCTCGCACAGTGATTGCTGGACATGGGCACCAGCGACCCCCGTGACCCATAAATGGAATAAGCGGGTAAAGAAAATGGATGGATGGATGGAGTTTATTCCCAGAAGAGTAAGTGTGCAGTCACTGTTCAGCTGCTCCTCGTAAAGAATCAGTTTTATGGGGCTTGTAGTGCGAGCCACGAGTTGGAATTACAGAGACAGAGGGATGTTTTGTGTACCAAAACAGAAGCTCCAAGTGTAACTTCTGCCTGAAGCACACAGCTTTGGTCGCTGTTTAATAATAAACATCATATTAACTTAAGGCCCAACTGCCAGCTACATGGCTATTTGTTTGAAATAAAGAAGCCATTTTGGAAGAATCACAATTTTACTCAAATGATTTGCATGAGTCGTATCTGTTTATTATACATCCATATTGTTTATAAAGTTAGTTATTCCTTAATAGTTTTACAGACCCTCACCAGTACGCATACCGCAAGAACTGATCAACAGAGGATGTCATCTCCTCTGTGGTCCATACTGCTCTCACCCACCTGGAGCAGAAGGACTCCTACATCCATATGCTCTTTGTGGACTTCATGTCTGCCTTCAGAACCATGATCCCCCAAACCCTGATGGACAAACTACTCACACTAGGACTAAGCCCCTCGGACTTCTTAACAAACAGACCACAGTCAGTGAGGATCCACAACTTCTCTTCCTCCACACCATAACCCTCAGCACTGGCTACCCTCAGGGTTGTGTTCTGAGCCCTCTCCTTTTTACTCTGCTCACATATGACTGTGCACCTACCCATCCAGGTTGTCACATTGTGAAGTTTGCAGATGATGTAGTGGTGGTGGGATGCATCACAAACAATGATGAGTCCAGCTACAGGCAGGAGGTGGAACATCTGGAAAGCTGGTGCAGGAAGAACAACCTTCACATCAATGTGAAGAAGACGAAAGAGATGGTTGTGGACTTCAGAAGGAACGAACACACCTACTCCCAACTGAACATAGGAGGATCTGTGGTGGAAGTGGTCTCCAGCTACAAGTACTTGGGCGTACACCTGAATGACAAACTCAGCTGGAGCAACAACTCTACCAGCCTGATCAAGAAAGCTCATCAGAGACTCTACTTCCTCAGGCGGCTGAGACGAGCTGGTCTGGGAAGCTCAGTCCTCACCTCCTTCTACAGGTGTGCAATGGAGAGCATCCTGTGATCCAGCATCAACGTGTGGCATGGAGGCTGCACAGCCGCAGAAAGAGAAGCAAAGCTTTGCAGAAAGTGGTGAAGGCTGCACAGAAGACTGTTGAAATCAGTCTCCCCACCATCACAGATGCAGGAAGAGGGCCACCTGCATCATGAAAGACCCCACTCACCCAGCACACACACTTTTGCCTCACTCCCCTCAGGCAGGAAGTAGGAGCATTAAGTGCAGAACCACTAGACTGAGAAACAGCTTCTACCCTGAGGCTGTTAGACTCATGAATCTCTAACCAGAATAATCACTGTGAAGAATCACATCATGTTGCTGCTGATCTGTTTCATGTTGCTGTGTTCTTGCGTGCTCATCTGCTCACACAGACTCATGTTTGTGCTGCTGTTCGGCGTATTGTTTTTATACTGTTAGTGCTTAGTGTGTTTTTAGTTAACATTTTTCTTAGTTCATATCTTAGATCTTATTACTATTTTTCTTTTACATTTGTAGTGAACTACTACTACTACTACTACTATTCCTGTAGACTCCTGGTGGAGCATAGGGCTGCAACAACACCCCGCCAACGAACTCTGTTTTGGGCGGCTCTCTTCAGCTGGGTCCATGTCACTCCGGCGGCCTTCGCTTCACTCTCAACAGATCTTCTCCACGTCTGCTTTGGTCTCCCCACTTTCCTTTTTCCTTGTGGGTTCCAGTCCAAGGCTTGCCTTGTGATGTTTTCTGCTGGCTTTCTCAAGGTATGGCCTATCCAGCCCCACTTTCTCTTTTTGATGGCTTCACTGACCGGGCTTTGGCTGATTTTTTCCCATAGTTCTGCGTTGGAGATCTTCTCAGGCCACCTGATGTTGAGAATGTGTCTCAGACACTTGTTTATGAAAGTCTGGATCTTGTTGGTGATGGTGTTGGTTACTCGCCATGTCTCGGACCCATACAGTAGGACTGCTTTCACGTTGGTGTTGAAGATGCGGATCTTGCTGCGCTGGGATAAGGCTTTGGAGTTCCAGATGGGTCGCAGAGTGTTGAAGGCGAGCCTTGCTTTGTTGATCCGGCTCCTAACATCTTCATCTGCGCCGCCGTCTGTGCTGACCACACTTCCAAGGTAAACGAAGCGGTCAGCTTCCTTGATGTCTTCTCCCTGCAGCTGCAATGGTTCTTTCTTCTTGTTGTTCAGTCGCATCACCTCTGTTTTCCTGGTGTTAATCTTCAGGCCGGTCTTGTTTGCTTCCTCGGCGAGACGAATGAGCTTGGACTGTGCATGCTGTAGTGAACTAAGCCTCCGGTTATTGTTGGATGTAACTGGGACCCTGTGTACATAATTTCGTTCCACCACATGTACCGCATGTGTCATAGAGTCAGAGAGATTTATTTGTCATTTGCATCTCATGTGTACCAGTACAGGCAAAAGAGAGCACATTACACCAGTTTTGACCTCACTGCACTGGTTACCGGTTCACTTTCGAATCCAGTTCAAAATACTACTGTATGTCTGCAAATTACTGAACAGTTTCGCCGTCCCCCCATCTCTCTGATCTGTTACAACCGTATGCCCCACCATGTTCCCAGAGGTCAGCGGACCAATTGCTCCTCACAGTTCCAGGAACTCGTCTTAAGCGCAGAGGTGACAGGGCCTTTTCTGTAGCAGGACCAAGACTCTGGAACGAGTTACCTCTGCTTGTCAGACAGGCCCCCTCCCTCTCGGTTTTCAAGTCCCATTTAAAAACCCACTACTATTCGGTGGCTTTCAACACCAGATGATCTGTATTTTGAACCTGTATGCTCCACACTGGTTTGTCGTCTTTATCTGCATCGTTTTTATGTCTATATTCTGATTTACTTCATTTTGTATATTGCTTTGTGTGTTACCTGTTGTTCTGTCTGTACAGCACTTTGGTGGGCCTTGTAGCTGTTTTAAGTGCTCTATAAATAAAATGGTATGGTATGGTATGAGTTCAACACAAGTTCTAGAAGTGTGATTGAGTGCCATGTTTAATTAAAAACAAGGATCTATTAAGACCTGAAACTATAAAAAAATTAACTTAAAGGTTGTGGAAGTTACTGTAAACTAAAAGGCAAATTATTTCTCTTTCACCTACCTTCACCCCCCTTCAGTTTTATTATTTAGCTCTGTCACGGATGTCGAACTGAAGGCCCGAGGGCCAAATAGGGCCCTTGTAAACATATTGTCCGGCCCACAGGATGGCGAGATTTTAAGCACGAGATCTTTTTACTGCCTCTCATTTTGCAAAACTAGGTGTACTTTAGAGCAGACTTCTCATGGCAGTTGGCCAACCCTGAAACCCCCAAAATCTTTTTTTTTTTTTTTTAGCAATCTTTGATTTTGTTGCAGAAAGTCCAGAAGTGTATTGCTGTCAAGGACTGTAAGAAAAAGCGACGGAGAAAGTCAAATAAGAATGATGAAATGCAACTCATCCTTTCAACAAACAGAAGTACTGATTGAAAATGGCCCTCGGTTTGAACCCAGTTTTTAACTTTGTCCCTCATCCGTAAGGGAGTTTGACACGCTTGCATCACATTTATAATGTTAAGCTAAACGTCACCGTGTTTATCAGTCGGCCTGATGCAGTTTTATTGTGTGTGGTGATCTGTCTGTGGTTATTATCAGAAATGTTCACCAGGAATGCTGCTAGACCATCCACAATAATTGCAGTGAATCATCCTCTGAACTTTTGGATCACCACGACTTCAAATGGTGAATTAAACATGTTTTGGTATAGGGTTTACTTTAAATGATTAGTTGATTTTGATTGAAAAAGGGTGATAATTTATCAACTTTACCAGTGTCACAGTTGTTAGTTTGTGAAACCTGGAACAGAATAGTTGGATTAAAAACTAACTTTACTGAACTGGTTAAATTAAAGTGGAAGAATTTAGTTTTCTTCAATAATAACCACAAATAAATGGGTTTGGACTTTTTTTTTTTTCTTCCCTTCCTTCATTACAACTTTTTGACAACTGAACTGTTTTTTTATTTCTGGAATATCCAATTAGATTTTTGCATACTTTCTCTCTATAAGGTTTAATTTACAGCTGCTGTCTTAAGGTGAATACAAATGTCAGCACACAGCAATGAAATGCAGCAATAACGGCACAAATAGCAAAAATGAAATCATACAAACAGAAACACAATCAGCTTTGTAAGTTTTCTTCTGATAAGCTGCCGGCTTCCTTTTTACATGTGTAGTCAGCAAACATTAGATCACCCTGAATGAGACCGAGTAATAAAGATTGATAATTCATATCAGCAAGATGGCAAGCCCTAAAAACAAACTAGGATGTGTTAGGAAGTGAATTATATCAACAGGATGTGGTAAGGCAGAGACAGAGAAAGTAACCATGTATGTTTAATCCCTCATTAATGTTTTTATGATGATGTTAAATAAATGAAAAATGATTTGACAAAACATTTTATATTTGACATATGCTTATTGTTGGTGAAAGGGATAGACTCATATCACAGCAGCATAACATAAATTAATGTCAGTGGTAACTGAAAAAATGCAAACAATCAAATCAAATTTAAATCAATCAATAATCATTTTGCAAAAATATTTTTATTTTTCTTAATGCCAGTTTTATATGAAATATCAAGTCTAATGGTGGATACTAATGTAAGAAATGTCCACCCAAAAATTGGAAAATCACCTCTACAAGCCCTGTTAACCTCATTCCTAGCAGCTAAAGAAACATTTTATTTGTTTATATACCTGAAACTTTTTTACAGAGAAGATAGCTGCAGCTAGTGTAATCAGACATTTATTATATTTTATTCATTCATTATTGTAATGAGTAAGTCTATTTCAGATATGTCATGTCTAAAAAGAGATCAGTAAATCTCCAAAGTAGTAATTAAAGAAACAGCTGACATTTATTTCTCACGTTTGTAGAGATATTACGAGCATGGAACCATGAGTTAGTTAGTTTAGCATCAACACTGGAAACTTGGACCAACAACTACTGTAATTTCTGAACTATAAGCTGCAACTTTATTCACAAGCTTTGAACACCGTGGCTTAAACAATGCTACGGCTAATTTATGGATTTTCTAATTTTTTGATGGGCTAAATGGGAAAAATGCACAATGTTCAGATTAAGGGGCGACTGTGGCTGAGTGGTTAGAGCAGTCGTCCTCCAATGCAAGAGTTGGGGGTTCGAATCCATCAGGAGTCACATGTCGAAGTGTCCCTGGGCAAGACACTGAACCCCTCATAGCCTCTGATGTGTGTCCCATCAGTGTATGAATGTGATCTAAAAAAGCACTGATTAGGCTCTTTAGAATGATTTGTTCAATTAGCTTTGTGGAGGTCTAGTAGAGTGCTGTATGAATAGGTAAATGAGGCACAGATTGTAGTGTAAAGCGCTTTGAGTATCTTGAAATAAGATAGAAAGGCGCTATATAAGTACAGACCATTTACCATTTATCATTATGAATCGGCATAAACCACCCCTCTCATTCTAATTACAAATTCATTCAGCTCAAGCTGAATCAACAAAAAATAATCTGAATGGGATGTTTACATGACACATTTTTATTCCAAATTGCTGTTTAATCCAATTACGTATGTCCATGTAAACATAGCTATGACTCCCTGGTAGGCTACTGTATATATATATATATATATATATATATATATATATATATATATA